GAGAAACTCAATGGGCAGCCCAATAGAATACTGTTAGAATTGTGGCACCAATTAAAGCCAGAATAGCAGTTCCAGCCGCTGAGGTCCAGGACACAGAAACCAGAGTCAAGGCCTCATGCCTGGCCTGTGTCCCTGTAAAACTTCATGGGAGACCGTACTCAGGATTCGCCTGAGCCCTCGCCCTCATAGGAGGAAGATTGGGCATTGTGGTTTGACTGAGGGGGTTGGTCAAAGTGGGGGACATGGTGAGGATTGGAGGCCACGTGTAGAATTAGCAATTCATTGGTCCCCTGTGAATGTATGTGTCCTGGCGCTGGTGGACACAGGAGCTGAGTGTTCTCTGATTCATGGCAACCCTGAGTGTTTTCTTGGGACCCCTGCTGTGATAGATGGCTTTGAGGGTAAGGCAATTAGAGTGAAGAAAGCCCAAATCCCATTGGGGATAGGGCATTTACCCCCAAAGGAGTATATGATGTACATTTCTCCCTTTCCTGAATATATTTTGGGGGTAGACATCCTGCAGGGCCTGTGGTTACAAACCATTGCAGGTGAGTTCAGACTGAGGGTACATGTGGTAAAGGCAGTTCTGAGGGGACATGCTAAGCACTCACCTGTAGCTCTGCCTGTATCTCGGCAGGTGACAAATACTAAGCAGTATAAATTGCTTGGGGGGGCACAAGGAAATTTGAGAAACTCTACAGGAGTTGGAGAGGGTGGCATCATAAAGCCTACTCATAATCCTTTTAAATCCCCAGTGTGGCCAGTGAGAAAGCCAAACGGCTCCTGGCATATGACTGTGGACTAAAGGAATTGAGTAAAGTCACACTCCCTTTGCATGCTGCTGTCCCATCTAGAGCAGACATTCTGGACACCCTCAGCCATGAGCTGGGACCTTGCTAATGCTTTCTTCTCTATTGACATAGCATAGGAAAGCCAGGAACAGTTTGCCTTTATGTGGGAAGGCTGACAGTGGACATTCACTGTCCTTCCACAACGATATCTCGACAGTCCCACCATCTGTCACAGACTTGTAGCCCAGGACTTGGCCACATGAAAGAAACCACAAACAGTGCTGCTGTATCACTACACTGATGATATTATGCTCATGTCTGATTCTCTTGCAGATTTAGAAGGGGCAGTTTCTAGACTGTTGCAATATCTACAGGAAAAAGGATGGGCTGTGAAAACAGCACCAAGGTTCAGGAACCTGGTTTGTCTGTGAAATTCTTGGGGGTTGTCTGGTTGGGTAAAACTAAAGTTGTTCCAGAAGCAGTCATAGACAAGGTCCAGGCTTTCCCCCCACCCCTACCACTGTGGCAGTATTACAAGAGTTTTGGGTCTTTTGGGCTACTGGAGAGTGTTTATCCTGCACTTGGCACAAATTCTGAAGCCCTTATACTGGTTGGTATGAAAGGGCATCAGGTGGGACTGGGATGAGACATGTGCAGCTGTTTTTACTGCTGCCAAGCAGGCAGTCAAGGCCATACAGGCCTTGAATGTAATGGACTCATCAAGGCCCTGTGAACTAGATGTTCATGTAACCAAAGATGGCTATGGATGGGGTCTTTGGCAGCGGCTTGAATGGACATGCCAACCTATTGGATTCTGGTCACAACTATGGAAAAGAGCAAAGGTCTGGTACACCTTCATAGAGAAGCAACTGGCTGCTATGAACCACACCTTGCTGGCTATTGAGCCCATCACCGGAACAGCTCCTACTAAGATAATAACCACCTATCCCATCATGGGGTGGGTGCGAGACTGGACCCAAAGGCCACAGAGTGGCGTGGCACAGACGCCTATCCTGGCCAAATGGGGTGCATATTTACAGCAGTGCAGTGCCCTCTCTACTAGCGCCTTAAGTGGAGAACTCCAAGGCTTATTGGGGCCAGTGATGTATACCAGTGGAAAGCAGGAAGAACTTGCTTTTCAGCCCTTGGTAGCTGAGACTTCTTATTAGGAGGGAAAAGCCCCTGTAACTGAAGATGCTTGGTATACAGACGGCTCCAGTCATGGACAGCCCCTGAAGTGGAGCCTGTGGCTTTCCAATTTAAGGCTGAGACAATAAAGATGGAGGATGGAGAGGGGAAGAGCAGTCAATGGGCTAAGTTGTGGGCAGTATGGCTCGTGATCACCCAGGAGCCTTCCCCCATAGTTGTCTGCACTGAGAGCTGGGCCGTCTTATCAGGGCTTGACCCTATGGCTACTGACATGGTATCATGCCAATTGGATGGTTGGTCACCAGCCCCTTTGGAGGCAGTAGTTGTAGCAAGACCTATGGGCCACTGGTCAGGCTAAGACTGCTACCATATATCATGTGACTGGCCATTTGCCTTTGGCATCCTCAGGGAATGATGAAGCAGACACATTGGCCCAGGTGCGCTGGCTAGAAGAAAAGCCTGCCTCTGATGTGGCTCAATAGCTACACCAGCATTTGTTGCACGCAGAGCAAAAGACAGTGTGGGCTGTAGCCCATTGGTGGTGCTTGCCATTGACCTTTGAAGAAGTCAGCAGAGCCTGGAAGGAGTACCTTGTGTGCTCTAAGAGGACCTTAACACCGAGTCCCACAGCAATATAGGACAATAGTAAGGGGGCCAATACCCTTTGTCAGGTGGCCAATAGACTATATTAGGCCTCTGTCCATATCAAAAGGAAATCGGTATGCCATGACTTGTGTGAACATGGCTACTGGACTATTGGTTGCTTTTCCTGCAGATCATGCAGATCAGCAAACCACCAAGAGGGGCTTGAAGCATGTTTTTGCAGCATATGGCTGGCTGCAGGTGATTGAGAGCAATCAAGGCACCCACTTTACTTGACATGAGCTACAAGAATGGGTGCAGCAATTAGGAATAAAGTGGACATTTCATGTACCATATAATCCTACTAGAGCAGGCATGATAGAGAGTTGCAACAGTTTGTTTACATCTGACCTGGAGTTGGACACCAATAGTCAATGGGGCTGGTCAGCTCGCCTATGGACAGTGCTGTTGTATTTGAATGTGAAGCCACGTAAAGGAGCTTTGAGCCCTGTGGATATGCTCACACACTCTGCTGCCTCTCCTATACAATTGTATGTCCAAATTAAAAAAGAGTTTTTGAAGCCTGAATATGGCCAGCAGAGCAATATTCTGCTGCCAGCCCCTACCGCATAAAACCCTGGAGACACAGTTGAAGGGACGTGGCCCTGGACATTTCAACACATGGACCAGAGATGGCTGGCCCTTCTGGCACCTTGGGGGAAAGGTGTGGAAGCTAGCCTCATGAGTATTCCTGGAGTAAGAGCTGAGTGGCCCCCAAAGGTCATGGTAGTGTACCCAAAATGTCCAGGAGGTAAGACCATCCTGTGTGAAGGGCTCCTACCAGTAAGATGGCGAACTTCCGGCTTCTCTTCGGGGTCCTCAGTTCCTGCCGGCGCCACCTGAAGCCCAATCACCTCTTGCCCCCCTCCCAATCCCAGCACCTAGCCAACAGCCACCAGCCCCGTAGAAGTGACACCTCAATCAATTCATGCCCCTTCCTATATAACCCAGCACCTTTCCCTAATAAAGCGGAATTCTCCGGTGAATTGCTGCTGTGTGTGGCTCCTTTCCTTTCACTGTGGAGAAGTTTTGTTTTATCTTTATGGCCAGTACATGGACCTTCCATAGCCCTATATATTGACCCATCTGTAACTCCCACAGGAAGGGGGCTGAAAGTCTGGTAACTAGACCAGGATGAGATCCCATTCCTGCCACTGTTTTATCACACGACCACTCTCTTGCATGTGTCCTACCTGATGGACAAGATTTGCCTATGCTGGTGTCATTAAAACATGTATCTTATCTCCCTGTATGTTATTTTCTCCTACAGTCCTTGTGGCCTGAATGCTTCCCCTGGCTGCGGCTGCCACATGATGATTGCTCTGAACCCTTAGCTACTGCCTGCCTATGAATGGGCGAGTTATGGACTTAATCTGCATGGAACTTTGAACCTAGCTGAATCCTCCAGCTTGAGGATTGTCATGATTTTATTGCTGTTGCTATTGTTATGTCCTTAGTCTGGTCCCGGTGCTCCAGTTTTCTTGCCCAGGAGCCATTGTGGAAGAGGGGGAATAAGTAGATTGTAAAGAGAGATTTCTGGAGGGGGGGTGGCCTGTGGGTAAAATTGTAACATTTCCAGAATATCTAGCCTGGCTTTAGTACATTTGCATATCCTCAGGGGTGGAGAGAAGTACATCTCCTTATCAGTGGGTAATTACCTGGGCAACCAAGAGCTTATCTGAATCTGAGCGGTCAAAGGGAGGTCCTTGCTTGCTTGCTTCTGCTGGAGCAGGAGAGATGGCCCCTGAGTGCAGTTTGTAAGCAATAAATGGATTTTAAACTTTATTTCTCCCTTTAACTGATTTTGGTTTTAGAGATATTTTGCCGCGGGTTTTCCTCTCCCCAAATTTACAGCTACCTAAGAGAAATGGGAAAAATTATTGAAATTGGCATACTTATTCTGTTTTCTACTCAGTTGCTGAAGAATAGTGGTATGCAAAAACAACAGAATAAAGATTATATCTTGCAAACTTTGTAGACATTTCTTTCACTTATAATTATTAAAATTAATTATTTAATTATTTTCCTATTTCAAATTACCCAACAAAATTTTCTTTTCAGTTTTAACCTACTGTTTTTTTCTTGTTCAATAAGTTCCAGAACTGAATGGAATATATAAGAATATTGTTGGAAGGAAGGAAAGAAACATTCAGATTCTCCTGGGCAATTTGGCTCCTACTCCTGCTTTTGCTAAACTAAAGCAATCAGAAAAAAACAGCTACAAGCTCTTTCCTGGCTGGGGAGCCAAGGGGTTAACCAATCTTGGTTTACTAAGTATCTCTGACAGCCTTTTATCTGATCCTTCCTCCCTTCCTCCCCTGCCCACCCCCTTTTGTAAATGTCAACCACTTCCTGATGAGCCAAGTAGTGGTGAATTTCACACCTTTCTTTTCTTTGTGAAGAAACCTGGGTGTTAATGGTACAGCATTGGGTACCATTGTGCATCTCTGGCTGTCTGTTAGTAAGCTGAGGGATGCCTGTGGAAAAAAAGTAGAAGGTGAAGAAATTTGAGAGATGAGACTTGAAAATAGGTTCAAATCGTTCTCATTTTAGAGTATTTCTTTTATTTGCAACTTTTAGATGTGTGTTTGGAAAACAGTAATTGTAAAGAAGCTTAGTATTGAGAGTCTATACGAGTCCAGCAAAGGAAGGAGCTAAGGTTAGAAGGCTGCCTATTAAAAAGAAAAGAACAGCAATCAGAAAGAAAAAACTGAAGAATCTTCTCACCTTTCATTCTACAGGTGTATTTATAGGACACAGCAATGGACACTTGGTCAGTTGATCAGGTCTGCAGTTGGTTGGTGGAGAAAAACTTAGGAGAGCTAGTTCATCGGTTTCAAGGTGAGTTGTTTACACTTTCAAAAAATGTTAATTGAGTGTCCTCTGTTACGTTAATTACTTTTGCTGCCTGATGCATGTGAACGTGGGTGTGGAGTTGCTGCAATGGGGAACTTTCATTTCTTGGCTGACTGTGGCAGAGTTTGCGTTTGACCTAGCATCCACAGGAGAATATTAAAAAAATATAAAGTCAAATAAAATAAAATGTTAAGAGTACTTAAAATACATATTTGATATATGCATATGATACTGTTTTATCCTTAAATAATACAGCATGTGTTTTTGTGCAGTGTTGAATTTACAAGTATTGAATATTGTGTGGGAGGTAGTATTAAGAACAATTTCCCAAGATTTTTTTCTTTATGAGCACAATGCCTGTTAGAGAGACTTGGAAGGGGGGAAAGTGTTAATGTGTAAGTAAAAGTTTTTGCTGTGGCTCCATGTTCTGGTACTTTCTTAGAAGCAGACATCAATTTGAAATTATGTAGTACCAGTGTTTTATTTTAGTCAAAAATGCACAAAATGTTTTAATGGCAGAGGAAAAGTTTAGATGATGCTTTTTAGCAACAGAAATAATTTTTTCTGCTCAGAGTGCTGTGTTTTATAGTGCTTTCCCAGGCAGGCGTGACAAGGGAGTTTTGTTTTGTTTTTCTTTTTCCCAGAGGAAGAGGTAAGCGGGGCCGCTCTTCTGGCGCTTAATGACCGGATGGTTCAGCAACTAGTAAAGAAAATTGGACATCAGGCTGTTCTGATGGATTTAATTAAGAAACACAAGCAGAAGAGTCAAGGACTGAAGTCCCCTGGAAGCCCTAGAGAAACAACCCTGGTCACACAAGCAGAAGTGAGCCCAGAGTAAGTCTGCTCAAGCTTGCCTGATTTTCGATGCTGTGCTTTCCCGATGATTGTGATAATAGGACATTCGGAGCTCAAACCTCTTTGAAAATTGCCACTGTTTTCAGCTAGGTTGTATGTACAGTATTTCTAATATCTGTGTAAATGACACTTCTTGCAAGGTTTTATGAGCTAAGATAGATTTTTTAACATACCATTGTTAAACACTCCAGTTGTTAGAGAAGTTTATAAACTGGGAGGTCCTGTATGGAAAGCTCTAGTAACAAGCCATTGAAATGTACATACAACACAAGCAGAAATGGACTCCTGCAGCTTAGGTCTTACAATCAGGGCATGGGAAAGGCATTTCTAACTGTTCCTTTGCTCTTCCCAAAACTATTTATTTATTTATCTATTTGCCAGAAGGGTCCTTTATGATAACTAATTTATACTCTCCTCTAGAGGACTTGACAATATAATTTGTTACAGACTCTTTCCACAGTGTTTTTTCTAATTTCTCAAGAGTATTCTTGAATACTGAATGCTATGATAGAATCCCATAAAAGTCATTTAGAAAAATCTGTGGAGGCTTTGGGATTTAGGAATGCTTTTATTTGTTTGTTTTTTATTACTGACTTCTGCAATGAAAAGGAATTGCATAATTAAAATTTCTGCTTTACAAATCTGTGCCCCAGGATCATTTCAGGCATTTTGATTTGGGTTTTCCATATTTGAGACTTTGCAAGTATTAAAGTTTAAATAGTTGCTGTACACCAATTAGTCATTAATTTTTAAAAGAAGATTATGTTTCATAAAATCTATCCTATGTTTATGGATTCTCTTTTTCCAGATTGTATCTGTGATAATCTATCTTTCTGTCTTTCTCTTTGATAAGCAATACAATGTTAGACCTGGCTTAAGTAATTTGATTTCTTGAATATTTGGATACTTGGGATAAGGAAGGGAACAATTAATTTTGAAGGGACGGTCCACACTTACTCTGGAGATTCTATTATCTGATCTATTTGAAGGATTTCACCTAAACATTGCTTTGTCATATGTATGTAAAAGCTCACTCTTCGATATATAACTTTTGATGAAGTTCCCTTAGCGTGCCTTTACTTTTTTGCAGCAAAGGGAGGGTGTAAACCTCAAATAGAGCTAAAAGTAATTTCCCAGCATGCTTGGATGAGTTGGATTTTGAGCTAGAAGTCCTATTCAGTTGACTGGAATTTTGATATTGCCTTGGCACAGCTTGGAAGAAAACAGCCTTGTTTCCACTGCAGATCAGTTTATGATGTTCTCTAGTAAATGAGAACTAGCTGGACTGCCAGAAAATCTGGGCTTCATTCCTGGTTCTACCACTGTCTTGGACTGATTTTGTTGAATGTTGACATTCCCACTGCTTCATCAGCAGGTTGTGAAAAGCAATGCAGTTCCTAACTCCATGCTATTCAGACTGATGTTAGAAGTATCATAATCTTTGAGAAAAATCTCTCAAATAGTTTTGTGTTAAATATTAAGCTTTGTTAACCTGATTAAGAAAGACATTTTCAAATGTAGCCACCACTCGGAAAACTGGTTTGTCCAGCGATTTATGAGTGGGGGTTTTTCACTCTACCCAGTAAATAGAAGACTCACCTTAAGAGTTGTGTTGTCTTGTATTCATGTTAAATTATTCTGGTGCAAGACCACAATTGCAGATGGGTTTATTGGTTATATTTGGTTAAAATGCTTACTGGATATATTTGCTCATTGTCAAATATATTGTCAGGTGGGAATTATGATAATAAAAAGAGGCATGAGACTATCTATTTAATTAAATCTTTTCAGGATTTAATAAAAATGGTAAACTTGATATAGTAGAAAGAACCTGAAGCTAGGTATCATAACACTTTCTTTTAAATCCTATTCTCATACTAGCTATTCATCCGACCTTGGAGATTTACTTGACTTTACTTAGTTTCAACTGTAAAATGAAGTGTGTGGAATAAATGATGCTTAAGACTCCTTCTAAAGAGTGTGTAATGGCTTTCTAGATCAGAGATTGCACATGGGTTTCAACTGGAGTGCAAGTTTCATTCAATGGCTAATGGTCGCCTGGTATGTTATTTTGAAAAGAATTTATAGGCCACATCTTGACAGTATATTTGGCATCCTATTCAGATTTAGGCAAATGATAGCAAAATGTAATAGGTAGGGGTATTTGCAGGTGCTTTTGGTTATTGTTCTTATTGAAGCTGGTAGAAAAATCACTGGACAGGAAGTTGGAAAACTGAGGTCAACTCCTGGCACTACAACTGAGTAGCTTGTGGTGCTAAGCAAATTGTTTTCCCTTCAGGGTTTCAGGTGCATCACTTGGAAAATGAGGGGTTAGTGAAGTGTGGTCCTTAGATCATGAGATTTCACAAATAATGGAAGTTCCCCCCACATTGCAGGGAGTAGAGACGGAATCTGAACCGAGAGTTACTCTTCTTTTTTTTTTGGCAAATAATAACATTAACCAATAAACGTACATTTTATTATCACCATCATTTCATAAAGAAAAGGAGTATCTTAACACCATTTACAAATATGACCCATTGGTGAAAACAGCATTGTTCCCTGGCACCAGTTTACCTCCGGTAAGGCATGTGTGAATCATGATGAAGGGACGGTCCACACTTACTCTGGAGATTCTATTATCTGATTTATTTGAAGGATTTCACCTAAACATTGCTTTGTCATATGTATGTAAAAGCTCACTCTTCGATATATAACTTTTGATGAAGTTCCCTTAGCGTGCCTTTACTTTTTTGCAGCAAAGGGAGGGTGTAAACCTCAAATAGAGCTAAAAGTAATTTCCCAGCATGCTTGGATGAGTTGGATTTTGAGCTAGAAGTCCTATTCAGTTGACTGGAATTTTGATATTGCCTTGGCACAGCTTGGAAGAAAATAGCCTTGTTTCCACTGCAGATCAGTTTATGATGTTCTCTAGTAAATGAGAACTAGCTGGACTGCCAGAAAATCTGGGCTTCATTCCTGGTTCTACCACTGTCTTGGACTGATTTTGTTGAATGTTGACATTCCCACTGCTTCATCAGCAGGTTGTGAAAAGCAATGCAGTTCCTAACTCCATGCTATTCAGACTGATGTTAGAAGTATCATAATCTTTGAGAAAAATCTCTCAAATAGTTTTGTGTTAAATATTAAGCTTTGTTAACCTGATTAAGAAAGACATTTTCAAATGTAGCCACCACTCGGAAAACTGGTTTGTCCAGCGATTTATGAGTGGGGGTTTTTCACTCTACCCAGTAAATAGAAGACTCACCTTAAGAGTTGTGTTGTCTTGTATTCATGTTAAATTATTCTGGTGCAAGACCACAATTGCAGATGGGTTTATTGGTTATATTTGGTTAAAATGCTTACTGGATATATTTGCTCATTGTCAAATATATTGTCAGGTGGGAATTATGATAATAAAAAGAGGCATGAGACTATCTATTTAATTAAATCTTTTCAGGATTTAATAAAAATGGTAAACTTGATATAGTAGAAAGAACCTGAAGCTAGGTATCATAACACTTTCTTTTAAATCCTATTCTCATACTAGCTATTCATCCGACCTTGGAGATTTACTTGACTTTACTTAGTTTCAACTGTAAAATGAAGTGTGTGGAATAAATGATGCTTAAGACTCCTTCTAAAGAGTGTGTAATGGCTTTCTAGATCAGAGATTGCACATGGGTTTCAACTGGAGTGCAAGTTTCATTCAATGGCTAATGGTCGCCTGGTATGTTATTTTGAAAAGAATTTATAGGCCACATCTTGACAGTATATTTGGCATCCTATTCAGATTTAGGCAAATGATAGCAAAATGTAATAGGTAGGGGTATTTGCAGGTGCTTTTGGTTATTGTTCTTATTGAAGCTGGTAGAAAAATCACTGGACAGGAAGTTGGAAAACTGAGGTCAACTCCTGGCACTACAACTGAGTAGCTTGTGGTGCTAAGCAAATTGTTTTCCCTTCAGGGTTTCAGGTGCATCACTTGGAAAATGAGGGGTTAGTGAAGTGTGGTCCTTAGATCATGAGATTTCACAAATAATGGAAGTTCCCCCCACATTGCAGGGAGTAGAGACGGAATCTGAACCGAGAGTTACTCTTCTTTTTTTTTTGGCAAATAATAACATTAACCAATAAACGTACATTTTATTATCACCATCATTTCATAAAGAAAAGGAGTATCTTAACACCATTTACAAATATGACCCATTGGTGAAAACAGCATTGTTCCCTGGCACCAGTTTACCTCCGGTAAGGCATGTGTGAATCATGAAGTGAGATGACTCCAAAGGGTCCTTCATTCGGGTCCTTTAGTCATGACGCTAATGTGGAGCTTAGAGGTGGACACAGATAACAATGTTCACTTTGGGCTGACCCCTACCCTCAGAGCTACTGGCAGGTCAATGGCTGTGGCTTCTGTTGAGTAACCCCTGACCCACCTCTTCTTTCTTGATGACAGGAATGAGCAGTCCTCCCGTCCAGCCAACCACGGGGAGCAGATGCCATCTTTCCATCCAACTGAAAACCTTGATAATGGACTAATTGACCAAAGAGTACTGAAACAAAGGTGAGGATGCCAACTTCTAAGCATTTTAAAGCCAAATGATATTTGTCTTTTTTTTAAATGAGATTTCATGTGTTTAAGTGTACCTTCTAGGTAGAAACTTTCTGTTTTCCTGGAAGGGGATTATTTTATCAAGCGATGAAGATATTTTGTAAAAGATACAGGTTAAGTTTTCTGATTTTGGGTTGGATAAGTGAAGTTTTGAAATGATATCATGCATCTTTTAAGTGCATGTTATTAATGAAAAAAAGGATTTATCTGTCAGACTGTCCAGGGTGCTTGTTAGTAGCCACAGAGAATTTATTCAGTGAATAATGTTCTGTAGGATATGCCTTGTTTTTGTTTTGAATTTCCTAATTGTTGTTGTTTTAACTTGCCTGTTCCTGATGGGGGGACTACTTTTGTAAGCATTTCCTTATATTTCTGCACTGGATTTTTTTGTGGTATAGTATTTCAATATATGGGCTACATTGGAACAAGGGGAGCTACAGACTGAGAGAAGCAGCCCTGGAATGTGGCCCTCCGACCATGTCCTGAGGGTAACTGTGATAAGGGTCTGGTATAAGAGTCATGATGGTCTCTACAGCATTTCCCTTCCACCCGGCCTGTAAGGTTCATGGGTCACACATTTGTGCAGCAGACCATATGAGCAAATGCTTTTCTTTAAATGTACTGTCTCTGAAAGGAGAGATGTCAGCTTGTATTGGAGAATAATCAGGCAACAGTCAAGCCAGGGAATGGTCCTCAAACTTTTCAGATACCCTTTATATTATCATGTCATTTAATCCACACAGCAAATCCTGCAAGGTGGGCATTATTCTGTATTTATTGTAAATGAGTAAAACTGAGATTTAGAGATGTCAAGGGGCTTCCCCAAAAGGTCATTCTGACCTCAGGATAGGGTCTACTGCTGTTGAAGTGGGGTCTCAGGGGACTGAGGGCAGCAGCCTCAGACCCTGGCCGCCAGGCCCCGGAGCCCCGTGAGTGCAGGGGAAGGCTGCACCTTTGTTCAGGAGTTCTTAAAAATGGGCTTTGGCTCTGGACTGCCCTCTCTGTTCTCTTCCCTTCTCTACCACCTTCAGCCTCACACCCCTCTCCCTGGGCACAAAGGTCCCAGCTCTTTAAGCTCTCCTAGTGCTAGGGCCCATTTTTCTCCATGCCACTGGCTCCTGTTTGGGGTGGTGAGCAAGACGGTAGAAGGCAATGTCTTAGATTTGGTCGCCATGGTGTTCCTGGTCTGAACTATGGTTCAGAAGATGTAAATATGTTTTAATGGTGGTTTCATTCCCTTCCTTTCTGCTCACAGGTGCTTGTTGATCCTGAGCGCTTTCCTTTGCTGTGGCCCCACGTGTGTGGAGTCAGCTATGAGTTCTCAACTACCTCGCCCATCATAAAACTTGCAAAAGCAGGCAGTCCCATTCCTAGGTGTTCAGGTGTGAGTAGAGACAGGAAAAGTGAGGATTGGTCCCTGTCATCTGACTCTTGTTCCACTGTGAATCTGTGTACAAATCTGCAAAGTGGGAATAATAACTATAATCCTTTCCTCCTGGTGCTTTTGGGAGGCCTGTTATCTAAAAATGGATAATACCTGCCAAGTGCCAAACACAGTGAGAGGAGGTGGAGAGCCACTCAGTGTGCTGCTGTCTGCCCAGCACTATTCCAGGCGGGATTCCCGCTTTCCTTAGAACTTCTTTTGTCTCCCTACTTCTGCTCCCTATGAAAGATGAGGACGCAGCCTTCGACAGGTTCTGTAGGTCTTTTCTCCTTTCTAAGCCCTCTGATGATACTCTGTCCTCATATCAGTCCTGCCGTACTGGCAGGGCAGGAGTAGTATTCCCATGTCTTCATACGGTTGGTCAAAGAAGCGGCCTGGTGCCTCATGGTGTTTGTCATTCTTCATAGCGCTTGTCAAGGGAGATAAGCAAACAGAACTGCAAACAGAACTGGCTTAGAAATGGAGAGAAATAGGAGGGCTTGGAAACCAGAGCCAATACCCTCATGTCTTTCTAACCATAAAGTCTTTTCTAATCTATAAAACCATCACTATCCACAACCACCTCAGAGTTAAGCAGGTCCAAAAATGAACTCGTGTCCCCTGCCTTAGTATATATTTGGGTATAAAAAACCACATAGCCACTCAAACTAACTTAAGACAAGGAGAGTTTATTATAAGAAGCATTTCCCAGCATGCAAGGGCAGAACTCATGCGTTCCCTGGGCGTAGATAAACTGGTGCTGGGAAGGTAGAGCGTGCAGCTGTCCTTCCTTCTCTCCTGGAGCCGTGTGTTGGCCATCTCTGTTTCTGCTCTGCTTCCCTAGTCTGCCTCATTCTTCTGTGAGACGGACTGATCCTTCTACTCATGCTGCTCTCCTTTGATTTCAGAGCAAATTCTCCCTGAAAACAGTTCCAGTCATCCCAGGCAACTGACTCAGCCTCTCAGGATTGCTTAGTTCAGTATCTAGGGAAGAGAAACTTAAGGCTCCAGCACTGTTCAGCTGTCCCTACCTGGGCATTGTAGCCCCTCTTGATCCCTTCTGCCTGGAGCACTGTTCATTCAACAACTGTTGGTTAAGGACCTGCTGCACAGCTTTTGTGTCAGCCTCTGTTCTTCCCTCCCCTTACCTACCTGCTCATCCTTGAAAATTCTGTTCAAAATCCCTCTTTTGGAAGCCCCTCCATTGAAACTCCAGGCCAGGCGAGAAGCCCTAGTATGTGTAGCATCCTCTGGGTAGCTCTTGCTTTCCTTGTAAAATTAGATAATGGACTTGATCATGTAAAGGTCTATATGCCCTGGAAGCTGGAATCCCTCCTGGCCAAGGACCGTGCCGTTGTTTTCATGGTAAACAGAGTGTCCCTGGCACACAGAGGCTAATAGGAGTTTTTAAACTGAGCTGAGGATGCGTGATTCAACAAAGACTGAATATATCTTTGTGGGCAGGATAAATACTGCAATATCATCAGTTTCTTTTTAGACCTTTTGATACAATTCATACTAAATATGCCAATTGTTTTTTAGCATAGTTAAACTCCTGGAGTTTATAAGCCATTCACACCTAAAAGCAGAAAGCTGATGGTGTCTGGCAACAAGGCTTTCATGAAGCCAGTTGCTTTTAATAGCCAGGGAGAAATGGGGGGACAAGTGTTCCACTTGGGGTCTCACTTACCTATGTTGAAGTCCTGACTCCTCCTCTGGCTTGCCAGGTGGCCTGTGCCCAGTGAGGAATGGGAACATCCATCTGCACAGGTAGTCCTTGAGGGCCAAGTACCTGGCAGCTGTTACCACTCCATACAAGGTGGCCATCATTGTTCTTGCAATATTTTTTCCTGTGTTTCCCAAAATGAACATGAGCTTTCCATCTAGATGATTTGCAGACAGGATGAAAATGAAAGCTCTGGAGGCAGCCTGTTTACCTGACTTTGGCTTGTGAAAAGCACCTAGTAGAGATGTGGGCGACCCACTGGATAAACCTGTGTCTCAGGGAAACGCTAGGGTGCTGTGACATGATGTAGTTTTCTCGGGTGACATTGTGCTATTTACTGAATTGCTTAAATGCCCTTTCTTGATGGTAGGATTACAAGGGCCCATCCTCAATGTGTGTTGGTGATCCTTCGGAAGGAACTTCGGAAGGAGTTTTTGCAATGCCATTCTTTGCTTTTCATCTACATTGTTTGACACTGTTTGCTTCCCTCTTAGTACCTAATAAGGCATGAAATTGGATAAACAGGTAGAGGTTTCCTAAATGTTACTTTAAAAACACTTTGCTTGAACTTTAAATATATGTGCACAGATGTTTTGCTTCTGCCTTTGGGCATAATTATAGATTAGTCATGGTTTCACACATACTTAAAAATTATTTTTTTCTTGGTCTGCTACCACTAGGAAATGCTACAGAATGATCTTACACCCATCTGCCTGTGCTCAGTAAGGCAAATGTTAATGGGTCCACACTTGCTGAACTGTTGGTAGGCACCGTCACTCAGATTGAGGTGCTACAGCAGTGTGTACTTTATGCAGCACATGATAAAGGGCAGGTCCATGAAGTGCACCAGAGACAACACAGGTGATAAATTGTTACATTGAGAGGCTGAATCCCAGGTCAGTGGAACAGCAAGGATCCCTTGGAGTGAAATGCAGGATTCCACTGTCTCCTACTCCCTGGGTAGCTGGAATATCCCTACCTAAAGGTTCTATGTTTTGGAAGTATTCCATTCTAACTCTAGTCCTTGATTAAAGATTCCCAGTGTACATTAACACAGTAAATGCTATGAGGAGTCCTGCAGTCAGAATATCCATTTACCTCTGACCCAGAATTCTTTCTTTGCGGAACATCTAAGTTGGGATTCATTTACTCATTCCATATGTAAAGATGTACTGGGGGTGTTAGGCTGTGCCAGGCACTGGTGTGGCACTGAGGATGCAGGAGTGAGCAGCAGACTGAGCCTCCCATCTCTCAGAGCTTGAGTTGTAATGAAGGGGAAAAAAAAGTAAATATGACACTACATTATAAATATGTTTAAGTGCCATATATATATGTACACACACACACATATAAATATATTTAAGACCAATGACACAGAAAAAAGGGAAAAGGCGGGGCGGGTAGAGTGTGAGAGGCAGTGTGTGTGTTGGTGTTAGTGTGCAGGTGGGTTCTGTTTCGGACCGGATTTTCAGGCAAGTCCTTCGACTTTGACTAGATGATTCTTCAATAGAAACCCAAGTGATGTGAGGAATATCAGCTCACTAAATTAGAACCAAATTTTCCTTCAGTGCCGGAAATCTGTGGACCCAGGCAAACAACAGTTGAAGAATCAGGGGGACATGGGCCTGATGTAACTGATAAAAGAGTTCTCTGACTCCTGTCCAATCCATTAAGTCCAATAAGAGCTTTTGGACATATTCAAAGTAAGCTTGATTTCTAATCTAGTTCCCCCCTCTTTGTTTATCCGAAAGTTATTGAATACACACTGTAACTAGGTATTATTTAGGTAGTGGGTGAGGTGGG